GTCAAGACACAAGTCTCAAGCCTAATAAGGATCGACGGGTCAGATAGTCCCCTTCCGCAATCAACGGCCTCAATTCAGGCCAATCAGTGTCGGTGTTCACGCGAAGTAGTTGTACACGTCAGCCAGCGTGCCACCATGTTGTTCGGGATATAGCTTATGTTTCCGTCGCTCTTGAGGTAGGGCAAAGCTTTCTGTTGGGATGACCACGACTCGGAGGCTAGCGTGCAGGCTGCCAAAGCTCGTCCGCATGGGAACGCGGGTTCTACTCCTGCCCGACGGCAGCCAAAACCACGCGCCTCCATTTTGTCGGCACTACGGTACTTCCTGTCCCGTATGCTGCTGGTTATATATCATTTTCCATCGTTTTTTTCTCGGAGATCAAATGACGTGGCCCGTGACAAGCAGCTCTTCGTAAAGAGCCTCGGGTACATGCGAAGCGAGAATCTGACGTTAGAGTGAGGGGCGAGCAATCTAGAAAAGTTGAGCGGTTTCGCCGCCCGCAGACGTCCCCTCGATTCTTTAGCCTTCTCAAAACGTATTGAAAGAGTGAAAGCAGAAGTAAAAATGCGTTTCCAGTTAGCAAATCGGTGAGTCCTTCTTGATTGCAATTGCCAAATTACCAATCTTTCAGCGTATGCACCAATCAACTAAGGGCATCCAATATAGTTGTTTGCCCTGGCAGCCTCAACGATCCGACTTACCTCTGATCTCATCCGTTAATTTTGTTGAAGAGTCTTGCATCTGAAAGAAGAGTTTTGCAACCAAAACAAGAACGAAGTAAGTTCTTCTGGCGGCCAATGCAATGCCCCGTTCCTCTTATTGGTATTCGATTCGACTCGCAGTGCCATCTGGCACATGACTATTGGCCAGGTCGAAGTGCATGCTATTGGAAGCTAAGCAGTTGGCCACTTGGGTTGAGATTTAGAGAACTTATAATTGAGTCCGGCCGTGCTGCTGACGTTTGTACCTGACCCCCAACAATGTGCACAAACCCGTGAATTGAAGCGCCTGCCAATAGATCCATACGTACGCGGTTCTGCTGCTTTGCAGACTAGGTACTCATCGCCGCTAAACTCTGTTCGAACTGTACATGAAGCATGCGGCTGATTCCCCGTGACGATTTTGAGTCGTCGACTCTCACAACCAATCACAATTCGTTGTTAGTCTTGTCTCAGTGTCAGGCGACATTCGGTCGGGCTGGTCAATATGCTCCAACGCTACCGTACGGCCTATGTCGTGCTCCTAGGGATCACGAATCTTATAGCTACTCTACGATCCATATACTGGCTGCATCCGAATGAAAGCGGCATGTGCACGTTCGGAGTAGAACGGCCCGCCAAGCTCGGCGCTGGGATGTCAGAGATAGATCAATGCAGAGATTCTTCGACACGAGCTTGCGTCCCGTTTGCTGGCAGTCGTGAATTTGAAGGCGCGTGACCGGTCTGAAACAAACAAAGATGTACGGTTGCCAGGCCACACTAGGAGCCGCAACGCGGAGTCACGCCAGCTCGCACTAGAGCTTGCTGCGCGCTGAGAGTCTGAGCGCCGAAGTAACGAAGGGTCCCGCATTCTAAACAACCCGTCGTGCAATTCTCGTCTTCTTTTCTTATCACTTGTCCACCAGATCTCAATGCTAGCCGTGACAAAAGTCGATTTTCGACGCGAGCACGAGGCTACGCTGTATGCAACAACTGTAAGTAAATCCTCGTCAGACCCGTCAACGGATTCTCTGCTCAAACCCCCGGGTTACCAGATATGGTTAATTTGCAAACTGTTCGCGTGCATGCTGAAAGAAAACCAGTTATGCCATTGCTTGACCACCGTGCTGGCTGGAATCCTCCTCTGGCGCTTCGTCAATGGCCGGCGGCGTCGCCCCGAGCGGTCGAGACGGAATGCCGACCTGAAGGGAGGTTGACAGGAGTCAACTTGGCGATTACGCACGGACTAAAAACTACCGTACGATCACTCAGCAGATATTGACAGGAGTCACTCTGTCGCTTACACTCAGACTTAGCGGAATATGACAATAACTGAGCTTGTGGCGCAATTGTTCAACGGATGCGCTGCAAGCGAGTTTGGGCAACGCGTGAACAAGTCGCATTGTTCCTAGCAACCGCTGACGTCATCCCGGACCCAAAAAAATCGGACGGGCCAAACTTGGTGTTGGCCGTTCAGCTGACAATCTGCCCCCTCGAAGGCCAGCTGACGACCACGCTAAATTCTCGTTGCAAGCGCTCTACCGATATCTATTACATCATAGAACATCCTCCAGGGATTCTGCTGTTCGCACGTTGGATGACAGAATTGTTCTGTCTCTCGCATGCAGGGAGAGTGTGTCATCTCGCAACCTTTGTCATCTTCTTCATGAGCAGACCCTCGCCGTCTGCTCTCTTTGTTGGAAACAAAAAAGCAAAGAAGGGGATGGGAGGAGCGTCGCTCCTCAGTCGGGAGGGGGGAGACTTTCGCCATTGAGAGGAGGGAAAGCGACGGGCGGAGAAGCGGGTCTTTTTGGGGGGCGTCTGCTTTAACAACGCCTTTTTGTGGAGTGAACGGACAGACTCGCTCTTCCATTAGGTTGGAAGAGAATCTAACCAGGGGTGGAGACCGAGACGATAACTAAGAAGCACGATTAAACAACTACATCGAGGCATCTTTTCAAGCCGTGTTTCTTACCTTGGGCGACCAGATGCAGGGGCTCTCGTCGGACGATCCGGACGCGCTCTTCTGTCCGGCGGGCGACTTGCCTTTGGACAGGGAGGTCGCGCCTGTGATGCGGACGTTGACCGGGGCGAGGGCCGGCAGAGGGATGGCGTCGATCGCCGCGGTTACAGCTCCTGCGAACCCGTCCGAGAAATGTTCATTATTGTTGATAAGGCAACGTTGTATTTGTTAAGGAGAGACACAGCTCTTCCCTGGCCCTGGCATCGTAGTCAGAACAGGAGATAGTGAAACCTTGCCACATACTCGTTTCGGTAGATACTCGTGCAGAGGAAGATTCTGGGCTCAAACATACCCGACGTAAAGAGTCTCTTCTTGTAAGATGGAAGTTTCTTCGTCTGTCCGTTGTGAAGAGTGGTCAGAAAGTCACCAAGATTACAGTGACGGTCAGGGCAGCACGTACTTAAAGATCGCAAGCAAGCATGCGGGGTTCACTGCTTCTTCCAAGATCATTTCGAAGTTCCTATCAGAATAGACCTGCGTGGTCACTTCGAGAGAGCGTGCAAAGTTTGTAACAACAAGGAAGCGCGCATAATCTTGGACAGAGGAACTGCAGACGTCGTGTGAGTCCGGTCGGCACTTCTATTTCCCCTTCAAGGTCAACATAGAAAACGATTTATCTCCGCGGTCGGAGTTTTTTGGGTTGAAGTTGTAAACGTGAAAAGCTTGTGGCGAAGCTTGACCGCACGCAAGCCTGCGCGAGCCTTTGCTCTTCAAGCGCGGTTTGAAGGCTTCTTCTCGGAAGCATTTGGAAGGATTGAAGCGCAAGAAGTGTCTGGTCTTACCTGACGTTTCAGTCGGCGTAGCGGGAGAGCCCGTCCCGTTTGCATGGGCACCTGAAAGTAATGGAACAGGAACGGGTCAATCGACAGTTGCCACAGATAGCATTTGGCCAAAGTGCACTTACTCTCCCTCTTACGCTTGAGATCAAGTGACTTTTCCTGTTCACATCAGGAACAACAGAGGTTAAGCCAATCAGCTCCAGTAGAAAAAGTTCCATTCTGTCTGCACGCTGCGCTCCCGCTTGCTCATAAGTGCGGAGAGGCATCACTTCTGCTTCCAGTAGTGTAGACTTTCCTTTGCTTCCGAGCTCGCTCTATTTCGAGATTCGTCGCTTTACTGATGTACGCGCAGGTTCGTCCGCTTCTAGCTGCAAGATCCAAATCGAATAACACGAACCCACTCTTGGGAGTAACCCTCCCTCCTGCAAGGAAACGCCCAGCTCGTTCGGACAATCTGCTCCCGACTACTCACCGACAAACGACCCCCGGGGGCTGGGCACCGGTCTCAGCGACCGCGCGACCGCGACCCGCATGTCCTTCCGCAGGCGCTGCATCTTGACACGTGTCGGCTCCCCATCGGTCTCGTCCTGGTACCCCCCCACCAGAATCGCCGCCTTCTCGGCACTGATCGCAATTCCCAGACTCGCCAGGTACCCCGCCAATTCCTCCGCGCTGAGGGGGGGTNACGCCGGGGCCGTTAACGCCCCCGGGGGGGTGGGGCAGTTGAGCGCCGGGTCGAAGGTGTGACCGGCCACCACGAGGGGCGACGGCAGGCCCCCAAGCCTATTCACACCGCTCCTCGTCTCCCCTGCTTGATCCCCCGCACGGTTAACCGGTGACCTTTCCGGGGTTAAGCTTGGGTTTGTGGGCGATCTACCGGGGGTTAGCACGCGGTCGGTTGGTGATCTACCAGGCGTCAGTGCAGTGTCGGCGGGCCAGGCGTGCGGCTCGGCCATGGCCACCGATTGGTCGAAGTCGAGCCACCGGGCCTTGAACTGCGCGTTCAGCTCGAGGAGCGCGGCCTCGTAGCGGTCGCGGCGCGCGAGGAGCTGCGGGTTGGGGGGGGGCGGGGTGGGGCGCACGTGGGCGTCGAGAGCTGTCCTGAAACACAGGAAAGAAGGAAATCGTCAGCGAGTTGTCTTTTAAGTGAACAGGTTTTGTGTTCGCGTCTGGTGGGAGAGGTTGCGCATATTGGACGGGGGCACGTGTGGCGTCCAGAGCCGTTCTGAACATCAGAGAAGAAAGAGGTTTTCAGAAAGTTTTCTCCTTGTATTTTGTTCACACCAACTCCGTCAACCCCGCATTCTAGTCCAGACTGATGCATGCTATGCCAAGCAGTCAAGCTGCTGACTTTTGCATCCGGTTCTCCTTGGGTGCCCTCCCCCCCCCCGCCGGGGCCCAGTTCCCCCTTTGCAGGAACAAGATTATAGGTCCCAGTTTTGGAGAGTGAGGAGTCACAAGCAGCAACAGCAGTCCCGAGATAAATGTTGGCTTTTCAAAAATTTATATAAGCATGAAGAGTATCAATAATTGGATCATGATGGATATCTGATCAAACCCACATTCCATTTGGGGCTGCCAATGCTAGTGCAAAGGAGGGGGCAACGGCAGCTCAATTCTCTATCTTGGGCTTCAGAAAGTACAGACTTGTTTGCAGGTTGTGCATTCAGCTTCAAAGCAGTGTCAGTGAATGCTTTTGCTGGTTGAATGGAGCACAATCAGGAGACTGCTCACAAAACCTCTCAGCAACGAGCAGAACAGCCAGGCAATTCTTCCAACAAGGACACTGAGAGCCTTTTTCTCATTGACTCTGAACAAGAACCACCAAAGGCTCCGATCAGAAGCCCTCTCCCAAACAGTCCCATCTAAACCTCTGCCAAGAGATGAGCAGAGTACCAGGACATAGCCCCTCAAAGCCCAAACCCTAATTTCTTAAAACCCGACACTCACCGGAAGTGTTCCATCCCCCGGGGTCCCTCCGGCACTTGCGCCGCCCCTTCCCTCGGTCCGCTCGGGCTGAAGACAAGCGCCTCCAGCTCAGAAACGCTCGCCGCGAGCGGCGTGTCCCCCTCAGACTCGCCGGCAGTTTCCAGGATTGACGTGGGACTCATGGTCTCGTCTCGCTCCGGCAAAGTCTGCGTCTGCGCGATCTGCACGGAGGCGTCGCCCCCCGCCGCACCCATGAGGACGCGCTCGAAGGGCGTCAGGCCGCGCTGTGACGTCAGCGTGACGTCGGCGGCGTCCGTCAGCTCCTCTCCTGCGTCCCTGCTGAACAAACGCTGGAGCGGCTCGGGCGGGGGGGCGTCGAGATCGGCGGCGGCGTCTCTGCTGAACATCCTCTCTAGGGGAGACGTCATTGCTGCGTCAGCGTTGGGGTCTCCCTTGACGGGGAGTTCGGATGCGACGTCGCGGCTGAACAGTCTGTCCAGAGGGGATGGCATTGCCACGTCAGCATTGGTGTCTTCCTTGGCTGGGAGTTCGGAAGCCATGTCGCGGCTGAAGAGCCGCTCAATGGTTCCCGCTGGTTCGGTCTCCATGGCTCTCGGCACGTCAGTTGGATTCGCAGTGTCCATGATTCTTTGCTTTCCTAGTCAGTCTGTTAGTCGCACTTACTTTCCGTGCAGGTCCAAAGAGAGATTGTTTGCCAGGCAACTCTTCCTTCCATTCGTCCAAACGTCACTGTTGCAATTGAACACCTGTTAAGAATCATTGGGAATTTCCAAACAAAAGATCCCCTCAACCTTAGTTGCCTGCAACGACAGCCAGTCAGCCGGCCAGCCTAACAACGTACACGAAGCCGCTCCTTTTGCGCCAAGAATGCTGGGGCAGCCCAAAAGGCGTTCAAGATATATATACTGGCTCAACGGCCACCATTGCTGAGCAAGTACACCAGAAATGGCCTCCTGGACAATTGAGCACTTCCTTGGGCGGTGTCCTTTTGCAATTTGAATGCCCATACGAATTACTGCCCATGCATGTATACTCCTGAAATGATTGTTCAGATCTGAATCCACAAGCTGTTCATGAAGCTGTGACTCTGGACCTAGAGTGAGTGGGCCCTGCAAGGCTACATACTGATCCTCGGTCGGCAGAAGAGCGCGCGCGTAACATTTCTAAATGCGGCATAGCCGTCAATGCCCTATCATCGACGGCGACAACGTCTTCTCCAGCCATGCTTCAGCGGCACTCAGGTGACGTCCATTTCCCCTCCAGCCAGAGTTCAAATTTTGCATATGGAAAGTCGCGACTCGCATATGCATGCATCTTCAAATCAATTTCAGGGCGGTAGCTACTGTAGCTAGGCTAGGGCGTTGCAGGGAGCACCAGCTGCAATCGTGAAGCTCCCCTTTTGGAAGCATTCCTTTGGGTAGCTGAATCCTTTCTCTTAGTCGAGCCTTATCAGTGAGCTGCACGCATATTCTACTCAAATTCCCCAACAACGCTCGAATGGCGCTCTTTCGAATCGCTCTCCTTTTGGGCCTCCTCGCAGTCGCCGCCACTGGCGCCTGCCTCCACCTACTTCCACCTGGCACCATTTCTTGGAGCACGCTTGAGTTCCCCCGCAACACGATATCCATGATGCTTCACTATGCGGCCGCAAAGTACGGACACCTTCGGACCACCGGACAGGTGGGGGACGGACGAGAAGCGTCCGTTTTGGCTCATGTGCAGAAGACAGTGCCGGCAGGGAATGCAGAATCGGTGCTGAAAGCAATTGACGAGCTGGCTTGGGGCGGCACATTTCTGATGAATGTGGGGCCCGAAAAGGGACTGATTCTCGATGAGGTGAGGAAGAGACCTACTCTTCCTCAATGAGTGATCATGAATGGCTGCGTTCGACCAAAATATGCCAGGGTGTGGTGGTAGGAGAAGTTGCCCTTGATTGATAGCAGAATCACTTTATGATGCTTTCGCTATAGCAAATGTTGAGAGGTAAACAGCTTGCTTGCTGTTTCTGGTCTTGACACTTCAAACCTCGCTGGGAGTCTGTGCTTCTCTCAACATACTCAAAGGCATTTCAGCAATGAAACTTTTATACGGCGGTGTTCATCAAGCCCATTGATCACACTTTCTCTTTGAAGGTTTGCATCGTCAGCAGCTTCTGGACATTGAATCAGATTAAGCCACCTTAGACAATTCGTGTAGCCACTATCCAAGCACTGTTTCCAGAACACTGATCAATTCAGTGAACAGCGGGGCCTCTCGTTGTCTGCACAGGTCATCAGAAGCAACAAGCCCTGCATGGTGCTGGAGATTGGAAGTTACGTCGGTTACTCGGCGGTTAGGATCGGGTCACAGCTCGCGCCTGGTTGCAAATTGTACTCCATCGAGTTCAATGCAGATAACGCTGAGGTGGCACGGGGGGTGGTCAAGCACGCGGGTTTAGATCAAACTGTGGAGGTTATCACGGGCACCCTGCAGTCAGTGACTGAGGTGAGCGTTAAACTCTGCTTTCTCACTTCCTTTTGCTCCATTCCTTGTGAGTTTTAGAAAGCCCACGATTTAGAAGGTAGGCGGGGCACTTTCAGCGGAGGGCTGACGCGAAGTGAGAAATCAAAGAGGAGCCTCTTGGACGCCTTGACTGAAACAAGGGCATGCCTTTTATGCAACGCAGCAGAGGCTTTGACTTTTTGATCTTGTAGGAAGTAGTGTTTGGATCCATCAGGTCAGAGCAATCAATCATAGTCCACCTTACCAGCAAAAAGCCAGCTTGTGTCTGAGACATACTCTCCGTACACATGAGACTCCTCACCTTTCAGTTGCAGTGGGACTAAGTTCCAGGATCAAAAAAACGAGAAATCGGATCATCACTTTGAAACCAGCGAAGTATTGAGAGTTGTGACCCAAACGGTGTCTAACCTTTTCTTGCTGGCGTTGCTTAGACGGCTCGTTTTCCATGCCATGTTCCTGGCAATGTGAATGAGCGCAAGTCAACAATCTTCATGAGCCTTGATTCAGGTGCTGCACAAGGAGAAAGGCGTTTCGACCTTCGATTTGGTCTTCCTCGACCACTTCAAGAAGTACTACTTGGGCGACCTCAAACTTCTGCTACATGAAGAATTTCTCAAAACAGGCTCCATCGTTGTTGCGGATAATGTGGGTTATCCCGGAGTCCCTGATTATCTCGAGTACATGGAGAAGACGTCGGACTTTGAGACCGCCAGACACGAAACGAAGCTTGAATACAGCAAGACAGTGCCTGACCTTATGCTCGTGTCCTCTTACAAGCCTCAAAGCTTGGGGCATCGGACATCATAAGGACCGTTGAACGTCTTTACTTCAACATTGAGTTGGATTGTAATGTTACCTTCAAAGCTATTAGAGCAACTTGGCACGCGAGGGACACGGATCCCGAAGCTGCAACCTTTACAACTCGCCATGTCGAGTGCCCGCTCTGTTTCGTGTCCAATCGCTGCACCGGTCGGCCTCATAACACAATGAATTTATTTTTGTATTGCACTGCAATCACTGTATTTCTTTCGGAGAGTAGCTCCTCAACTTGCCGCCAGCAGGCTAGCAGCCTGAGCCGCCATCCCATGCTGGCACGCAAGCAGCACTTCCATGCCGCCAAATCGCAAGTTGCCAAAAGGTAAGCGCGAGCTAGGTCTGGGCGGGCCCTCAATAATCCGATCAAGGCGGCGAGGGGGGCAGATCAAGTCTCGATTTGAGTACTCAACGGCGTCACGCATGATTTCATTTCACAACCGACCGTTTTACCGGTACGGGTACAAGTTCCTCGGTACTTAGTTTTGTGAGCCGTAGAAGCAATCCTATGTGCATTGAAGCAAGGCTAATTAACGACGACACAACCTAAGCTTTTTAGAGATAGACTTATCATGTTCCGCATGGCAAGTTCTCACTTAGGTTAGTCTCTTATCCAAAGTCCTATATCAAAGCTGTCTATATCATGACATCGTGGAAGCCGTTAAAAACCCCCCGAGGGTCCCGTGGCTTTTGGTATTGGGCCCGCCTTTTTCCGGTGGGAAAAAGGTACTTCCACGTGCTCTGATGTAGGACCATGTGGAGGAGACCCGAGGTGCCGCCTCAAACTGCAATAGGAGAGCACAAAAACGCATTGCATGGATTGAGCATGCGAGGCTAGCTGGGGCCCTGGCACTCATGGCGCGGGAGATCATGCAAGCACTCGACATAACCAAATTGGCAGTTTAACATACATGTATACTGAGACCGCGCCAAGGCCGCCGTTGATCACCTACTAAGTTGTATATATTATTTAAGTACGTGCCGCCCGGGCCAGGCCCGTCCGACATGCACGATTGAGGGATCTGCGACAGAGAATTGACCAGCAGTGCGCGCCGCAGTCGTATACTACCTAGCCTGAGGTTATACGGTGTGCCGCGATACAGCTTAGGATCTGCACCGGCCCTAACACCGCAAATGATAGACAAACGCATGCCAGCAGCATTTCGATTGCTCTCTAGGATGAGATCTCCAACTTCAATATGCCTTTTATGACGCGTGCATGCTGCATGGCATGTTTGTCGAAAGTGAAAGCATAATCTTGACGTTCTCTTTCCAAAACGCCTTGATCTGGCGCTAGCTTATTATATCCGTTTAGCATGTTAGCACACTTGATTCTTGAGCATGCAAATTCACATGTGCAGGTCTACCCCGCCGTGACTTGCCTTAACTTTTTGGGGCGGAACGATAGTAGGTCCTAGATTGAGTGACAAAGTGTCCAGCGACCCTGCGAGGGAATCAAGGACCGAGGATTGATCCAATCTGAGCAATTTGGCTGCACCCTCAGGCGGAGCGTCATTGATTGTTCCTGTACTTCCCTGAGTTGAGACACTAATTTGCCTTCAAGTTGAACAATCAATAGTCCAGTGGCTTTTACAAATTACCAAGAACCTTGTCAAATCCAATCCCTAGCGCATTTAGACACCTATAGAAGTACGGGGGCTCTTTGCGAGGGACGTATTAGACACGTGCCCCACGGCAGCAGTACATAATGATCGGGCGCGCGGACCAGGAAACCAAGTCCTAAGGCCGTCTATTTATCGTTACACCCATTCTTATATCCCTGCAGATATTGAGCCTTTGCATGGTATTTCCAGTGTCGTTGATCTAGGCCCTCTCAGAAGCCCCCGACGGAGCTGGCGCGCTTTTCAACGGTACCTTTTCTTCATCGTCCACCGACTTGGGGGCCGGAGCCGCTTTCTTGTGGTGACTCTTTGTTAGAGTATTATAGTACAGAGTTGAAAACACCAAAATCTGCACAGCGGAACATGAGGACCCTCATGAGAAACGAGGATTGGCTCAACTGTATGTTTTGCCAATCTCGATTCGCAAAGTATGACCCAACCGCATGTTCGGTGAAGTGAATTGCTCAGTTTCAGGCTAGAGCATCCTCAATACTGGGCTACGGTGGTGACAGTACAATAGGGTAGCCGGCAGTAATCAAGGACTGTACCTCAGAAAATGGCCATTTGGGTGGGATCCGGAAACACACGTAAAAGGGCCATTCGATTCAGAAATGTCGAAGAAGCACAACTCAAATGTGTACGTTCAGTAGCAACAGACGGAATCCAGGACCGGCCAAAAAAGCCAAAAAAATTCCGTACTCACTTACGCCCAGCGTCAGCGAGAGCCGAAAGGCGAAATTATCGTCCACATTCGTGCAACGAGGTAAAGACCACATGAGAAAGGAGCGGGGGCGGTAGGGGGGCGGCAGCCCCCCCGATTTCAGGTGAAAAAGAAGGCTCGGTGACTTACGCACCCTAACAACCGTTTGTTGAACACAACAAAAGGGAGCCAGAACTTCTGAGAAAGCTTACTACGACTGGGGAACGAGGACAAGGACGAACAATGAAAACGACAGAGCGCAGATTCTCCTCACAGTGCCTAGCGCGACTGGCCCGCGTAAACGAGAGCACGAAGATGACACACGGCATTACCAAAGCTCAACGAACAACACCTTGGTAGAGGTCGGGACCGAAAATCGTAATCCCCTATTGAACAACACGACTTCGCAGGTCAAATTGAGAATCCAAATCACAGAGATGCCTAGCCACTAGCCTCACGTGAACAGATGCACGAAGAAGATGACGCACGCCGTCATTACAAGATAATATGAATAAAAGTAAAGAGGGAGAAATAAACCCACAAAAAACAGGAATGACTGTGTAGTTCGAGGTGAGGACCCGAATAACAGAGATCCTTTATCGTGCCTAGCCACTGGCCCCAGGTCAGCGGATGCACGAAGTCGAGGCACGACCTCAAAACAGCTCATCAAACAACACTATTCATAAACCTGAGAAAGGAAGAGAAACACCAAGATCGTGAAGCCCGGAGTAGAGAACACGAAAAGGAGATAAAACTTGCATGGACGGCCCAGATGCTTACCGTGCCCAGCCACTGGCCCCACGTGAGCGGATGCACGAAGATGAGGCACGAGAGCAGGATGCTCAGGAACTGCCGGGTGGTCATGACGGTCGCAAACACGAGCGCCCCGAACGTGCGGATCGTGTACGAGATGAGGAACTGGCTGAAGGTGGCGGCCTGCGAGGGGTGACGTCAGCGGCGCGTCAGCTCCTTTGAAAGTGACGTTAGCGCTGTAGCACAGTGTTCGACAGTGGCGGGTGGGCTTCTTCTGACGGGTAGGTCAAGGCTCCGGGCCAAGCGTGGTCATCATTTCGATTGACGAATCTGTTCTCGTTCACAACTCTCTTCTCTTTCTTTGCCTCTTACGCTTCTTCGTTCAATACTATCGGCTATTTCAAATGACCGACATAGACGACATTAGTGGAATAAGGAGATGACGTGGTCGCTGAAAGAGTGGAGCCGACCATGGGCCGACGACAGGACGAGAGCCAAGTCCTAATAGCTGATGGCACGTGTGCTTCGGAGGGGCAGATTCCTGACCACTCACCAGAGAAAGGACGAGGATGTTCCCTAAGCACTCGGGATACTTGATGACGAAATTAATGGCTTCGAAGAATTGGCCCGAGCTGATGAGGCCTGCAAAGAACGAGGATCAGCTGAAAATGCGAGAAGGCCTGATTGCTTCAATGGCATCGGACAGGGTGACGTTCAGTGAGCTTGTTACAGCGATAGCTACGTGTGAACGTCGGCCGACATCAAGTCCCAAGCCAAGCGTCATTGATTCCGTCAACCACGTGGCACACTCAGAGTCCGCTGTCTGAGGTAACGTTGATTTCAAGTACTAAGCACAAAAGGGATTCGAGCAGTGTGGTTGGTTTGAAGTGTCCAGCGACGTAGGGGTTTCGGACGAGCCCCAAACTTTCCAAAAACGCGCAGACAGGCTTTGTTTATCTACATGAAGCGAACTTCAACAGTGATTTCTACTGCCAGCCTGGCAAACCTCACTCTTACTGAGTATTTCCAAACAACGTACTGAAAGCACAGCCTCGAATGGCATACTCGAAGTTTCTATTGCACAACGACGCATATATTTCGCAAAACATTCAACAGCAGGGCGGTGACGTGGTCGGCCATAGAATTACCTAGTGAGCTGAGTAATGACGAGCAAAGGCCCGTGTAGAGAACCTGCGTCCAAACGTCCATTTGGTACCCCTTGAACAGTTTGTCCTGGAAGGTACTGGTAAACCCGTCAAACCTGCACAACGCCACAGATCGAAACACTGAACTTGGAGCACCTGGCTGATTGAAACTAATCCAAGGCAGCCTGAGCAACGTGTCTGAAACCCAACTGGTTCTCGTTAACCCCTTCCAAGACCCCTCCATGATGCGGTTTAGCTTGATCTAGTTCACCTCAATCCATTGATGCCTCACCAAAGAGAAGGATGCCAAGACCATTGGGAAGCTTCATTTTGGACCCAATTTTGAACGATCACAGAAAACAGAGACGCTTTCGCAGTGCGATGTTCTGAGCTGCGGCTTTGAGCCAAAGTACTTCTAGGTGACAACCTTATGCACTTCTCTTAAACGCTTTGAAATGTTACCCGCTTCTAAGAGAAAGCATCTCTGAACGCCTCAAGGAGGAGAAAGGAAGTCAACCTATCCTCCTCTGCGGTCTGTGCTACCAAAGCCCGATACCTGTCCGTCTCATGATCTGAAGTCGTGCCACGCGTTTTTCAAACTTGCTGAAAGAGGGGTTGCAACACCTACCCGAGGTAGCCACACATTAGGAGGATGCCCCAGAGGCTGTCGCTTGACGCTGCTTTATGCTTCTTTTCAGATTCCTGTAGAAGACCGAACGCTTGTCAATGAACACGTGGCACTGGGAGGCTGCTTCTGAGGCATCCTGTTTACGGGGAAAGTGTCTGGGTTATGATCGTTTAGATATCTGTAGCAAAAGCCTTGCAACGTCGTTTGTACTTGTGCTGAAGCTGGAATGGAGCCGTGAAGAATACAGATTCTCAGAATGGAAAAGGCTGTTGTAAGTGCAGAAAACATTAGCGAGCGCATGGTATACAGCGCTAGGATACCCAGATTTTAACCCTAGCTGCAGCCGGTCATGTAGAGTCATTTGTGAGGGCGGCCGCCAGCTATCAGTTTCAAATCCGGAATCGCAGGGAGAGAGAGTTATCGAAACAACTTTTTGAAGATACGCAGGTCTGCAGATGAGTTAGTGACCCGTCACAAAGAGGGAAGATACAATGAAGGCAGGAGACTGAGTTCGTAAGAATGCTTAACCTTCATTTTGCTGAGCTGTGACGAATTCGTGGTCCAATGTGCACCTTATTATGATTGATCAGCAGAGAAACTGAGTGGCTTACCCCCGTGAGAAGGAAGACCGTGCAGCCCAGAGTGATCAACACTGCCAAGAAGTAGTCTTTCGGCCCATATCGCTTTCCCATGATGATTGTGCCCCAGATCTGCAAAGAATCCCCGCTTACTATCAGAAGATCGAAATTTTCAAATATTGACGAGTACCTGAGCCTGCTCAAGGAAGGGAATAGGGACCCAACTATAAGAGGGGCAAGGCGCGACGATTCAGGAATATGACAAGTGAAGCAACTAACGGACTTAGCGATGCTTCCAAGGACACTGAACAGTGCGAAAATTTGACCATCCACACGACCCTTGAAGTTCTGCCACCCTGATCTCTTACTATGACTGACAGCTGCCACCCCCTTTCTTGCTGCGCGTCGCTCAAGACGTCACAATTGTTCACTTATGTTGCACTTTTGATGGTGAACACCAGCTTGATTGGCCCCTCAGGCAAGTAGAATCAACAATTTCATCATATTCTTGGCAGCAAAATGTAAAACAGTTCCCTGTTGCTGACAGCTTGCTGACAGGACTAGTCGTGATAATGAGGGCGCGACAACCAGTCAGCAGCTTTGACTATGTAAGGTTGGGGGTATCCTTGGTGATAGAAGCATCAGATCTCAGTCGTGCTCAAGAGAGGCTCTCACCAGCAGCAAAACGAAACATGTTTTCAGCGAGGTTCTGGAGTGGTTCAGGAGCCGGTTGTGAGATGCGGTTTCTGACTCTCTCACCATGACTGGCATCATCTTCGCACACTTGGCGAGCGTCTGTGTGGGGAAGCTAACGTACTTCAATGCCTGTAAAAGGGGCACAAAGAGTAGGGGTTTAGAGTTTGCAGGTTAATCCGTTTTTTTACCAGTTTCCTTATGCTTGATCAACAACCAGAAAAGGTGACAATGGAAGTCGACTCCTTCCTGTGGTTGTGAGGTGCCCTGCTTCTCCGCTTTATCTTCGCTCCTACCTAATGAAGTTCGAACATAATGCTGAGCGTAAACTGAGATAGCAGAAGAGAGTGGTGCGGTTGGGTTCTCTAACATTTTGTGAAGAGGTGGCGAGTCTGCCGTCCTACAAGGCACGCTAGAAACCTCTGTGTGGAAATGAGACAGTTTGTGTGTTGACGATTCGAACTATTCAAGATCCAAGGTCAAGGCGATGCCTCCTGCTCAGAACGGCCTCAAGGGGCAGAAACAGTAGACCGAGACCTAACCCAGCAGGGTGATTCAAACTGGAACAATCTAGATTACTGTATCCTCCTAGCTCTTGGGTTACTTAGGATTGAGTCAGGAAGCACATGTAGGTAGATCGTGCGTGTGTGAAAAGAACCCCTTGCTGGATGTTGAAGATTCAAGCGCTTGCACAAAATTGTCTAATTTCTGGTGCTTTAGAAGTTGAGAACCATCGACCACAGTGGAGCTCATTTGATTCCCGCTCTCCGATCTGTCACTCTGTCCACTGGCAATGCATAAAGGGGCTTCCTCACTCATCATGATTGTCTCTTTTCCAATTTTCTTTGAGTCCAGGATTATTCCACGATGTGCCTCAGTCACACTCGATGATCACAATCTTATGTTTGGACTCTGACTCAAGAACTACCTCATGTATGACAATGCTATCAACACAACAGTGGCGTGAAATGCTGGCTGAAAGCACAATGCACGGAGGCAGCACCATGTAGGAACTGGGCGCTCACTTCATACTGGCAGGTGGTCGCAACCACATTGGACAGGGACACTGCGGCGTAGGAATAGAGTGGTGCCACGGGGTTCAGGGACTTGGACTGGGCCTGGAATCGACCCCCGAAAGTTTATTGTCAGCTTTAAGATAGTCTTTGAAAAGACTCTTAATTTGTCTCAGTAATTTTAACTTGTCTTGTTGAAGCCTGTAATCTGTGGCACATCAATGGCATTGTTCGAGTCCAGTGAGCGATTCGGAGGTTTCAGCATGCTCCGAGCAACAGCAATTCAGAGACAGTCGCAAGGTAATTGAGTCCCAGGCCAAGCTGGAAAAACTTCTTTTTATCTTTGTGGGGGAAACTTGAGTCAACTGGACAAAGAGCATCTTCCAGCACGTAACCAGAAACCATGTGCTCTTCAGATCAAATTCTTTCGGCCTGGGATGACAGGGTTCTACCTAGAGCTTTTTTTGATTAGCAGTTGCCTTCATTGAGGATATTGAGTTAGAGAGCTGTTTGCAAGGGAACCGATACAGGTGGTAGTGTCGGTTCGCCCGCAATCGAGAGAGCTTACTCACCCATAACAGACCGACACAGACAGAACACGTGAGTGCTCTGTTGCACAACACGAGGAACAGGGAAAATTTGAAATATTCTTGCTCCTCTCCATACGGCACCTTCATGATCCTCTCCTGCAGGAAAAAGCGACTGCTGGTTGGAACTTTGGAAAGATGGAAGAAGTAAACGCAGGTGCATCATGGAGACGGGAAACGCACGAGTCCCCAAGGTCAGGAAACCCTCCATAATGGATAACAAACGCTTTGTGGAGGATCTCCAAAAACAAAATGACAGAAGTGCATTATGATGCAGTGGAGAAGGCGGTCACTTGACAGACAAGAGCTCTGAGGAGAACATGATCTACAACCTGCTGATTGGCAATGCCATCAGACACCATATAGACCAACATCAATAGCTCCATGTGACTGTAGATCTAACAATGATGGCACAAGCTTGAGAGGGCCACCTCGTTTTTCGCATCAAACGTCATATCCCTGTTTTCACTTCACAACCAACTCTGAAGCACTAAGACTTCACAGGGATTCTAAGAAGAGCTGCATTTCAACATCCTAAGCCTGCTGGAGCCAAAAGCGCTGAAGACAGTGCATCATCACAAAGAATGCAGAGGCAGGATAAAAAGTCACATCACAAGACTGAGGCATACCTGCAGTACCCCATACAGCATGAGGGATGACAAGATCCCAAAAGCTGCCAGCACAAGCCTTACAGTCTCGGACTGGAAGAAATTTGGACCTAGGTAGGATCTGAGGCCGCCTAGAGAGAATGAGCTAGCGTCCGCCATTTTTATCAGGCTATCCTTTTGTGACGTCCCTCGCTTTCAGTTGCGCTGCTTTCGGCATGTGATCTAGCTCCCTTCCTCAAATGGATCTAGACAGAAACAGTGAACGTGATCAACAGCTTCTTCTGATCAACAGTTTACTCAGCGTCTTCAGCAGCTGTCCATCACAAATTCGTGAAACGTGAAGCGAAATTTGTGCGAGGCGGAATGCACATCATTTGAAAATTGAATGCCAGGATTTTGTCGACTCTTGAGTCATGAAGTTGAGGCTTGAGACTGGCAGTCTGAGTAGGTACAGCTGTCATGATTACCGTACGGTACGTTATACGCTGCCTGACTACTTATACCCTCTGGAGCCAGGCTTGAAAGCCGCCCGGAGGTCGGGGGCCTTCAACGGCAATGCCCGGCCCCGCAAAGAGTGGTTGGAACTGGCCAGAGCGCCCGGATAAATGAGCCGGTCGCCAAACTGTAAGATCGCAATTTGCGGCTTGCCTCATAAGCCATGTTGGTTTGTGCTGTGTCTATTATCTTTGCTTGCCGCGTTGGGGTCTCCAGCTGCTTGCGGGGGGTTAGCTCAACTGGTTAGAGCACTTGCTTAACAAATGACGTCGCTTGCCGTCATGCGAAGCGCAAGAGGTCCCGGGTTCGAAACCCGGACCTCCCATCTTCCGATTACGTCAGCTCCTGACGTGGAATTTTGGTCGCTGCACTTCGTAGCCATAGAGTAGCTGTTTTGCAACAGGAGAGCCATGGTGCCCTGAGTCAAGCAAGCGTTAAAGACCATTTCCCTGCCTAAGCTCGTCTTTTTGATACGATGCTTCGTTTCTTTGTGGGGTTGCATGAAGCGGTCTTCTGGCTTCATAAGCTTCATATACTCTGAATCGTCATATGGTAAGAAGTATGAGGGACCAAAGGCTTAATCGTGTGCGTAACAACCTTTTTGTTTAAACCGCTCTGAGAATGATGACACGAGTGGTAGCGTGCCCTTCTCCAGCAGATAAAAAGGCATAACCGCAGTTGTACGAGCTTAGTAGGCTACAAGGACACCTCCAACATGCAGCTACAGAGATACTAAAAGTCTGAAGAGTTATGATGCCGCGATGCAGTGCAGTGCAACGTTTGCCTCGATGTTAATAAGCAGAAAGCATGTAAGGCCTTGCCTTGATGCAAGGCCTTGCCTTGATTTTCTAACGGAGACAATAAAACTCCATCAGAACTTTGCACTCATGTCTCAACATCAGAAGATCTGGAAAATTATGTACTGAAGAAGGTACTTAACGCGCAGCTGATTGTCTTTCCTCTACACCGGATCCCAACACAATTCTGTTCCTTTCAACTGAAGAGAATCTCGAACTCGCTCATCCTCAAGTTCTGCTTATCCGTGCGGATAGATCCCGCTATGGTCTCCGGTCGTTGAGCTTTCCCTTTGCTGCATCAAGCAAACGCCATCGACTGGTTAGAGACCATGTTATACTCCGCAATTGTGGACGTACCAACCTCCTAGACACTTCGATAAGACAACACAGAATTTCAAATATTCAAATGATCTATAGACGACGAACAGGCTGCTCCAGTTATCCATCGGGGCATAATCGCCGGTTACTCTTTCAGGTCTGGTTCAAGAGGACAGCTGGAAAGGTCCTGCTCATTATGAAATAAGAGATGCAACAGACAGTTCCGAAAGGTTCATGAACCTCTCCATATGAATGTCAAGTGGGTCTCAGAGTACCACCACACTTATGTCTGAGGTAGGTGGCTAGGTCACACGGGCCCAACGACCAATCGGCAGGTAAGCTGGCAGACGTGAAATGGCAAAGGCAGCGAAGGGTATTATCCCTTCCTTAAATCTCCACAATGGCGCAAAAGGATCAGAGATACACAAGCCATATGGATCCAAATCTGTGCTTCCAAGAATGCTCGCGGACAATTGGACCTGGCAACCCCCTGCTATGCAGGTTGACATTAGCTCGACATTAGCAAGTCAGGACGAGAACGGAAAATGAACCCTCACCTTCTGTATGCCGCACGTCCCACGTCGTCAGGTGCATCATTTGCGTTTCCGCCCTCCACGCGACTCTTGACCACTTTGAGAATCTTCTCTTCCACGGAGTCCTGGATGAACATGCGCTTCACGGTCACAGGCCTCTGCTGTCCCATCCGCCAAGCACGGCCCACCGCCTGGTCTTCCAACTGGAAAAGGAGAAGGCAGGCTTCGAAAGGCGATCCAAAGCAATGGAATGTGACGCCGGCCTAGTCGGCCTGAATCAGCGATTGTGAGCCAGACTGGGTTACAGGATAACCGGAAGTCATCGAGTTGGAGGAAGCGAGTACGGCACCTGAAAAGAGCGGGTTTGGCCTCTCCATCAATGACAAACCCGCGGGACAGAATCCGAGGGTTTTACGGCAGAGGGTCGAGAAAACGCCGGAGTGCAGCTGCTCATAAAGCGCTAGTCGCTTTGAAAAGGTCATCTTCCGGAGATCTTCGAGAGAAGCTTTCAGCACGAGCATTCTGAAACTAGTCAGCGCCCGTAATCGTGCTCGGCCTCTCAAACCCCAGTTTTGAACAAACAATTGCTTGAGGGCGCTCCGCAGACTTGAGCAGCAACAGCCCCTCGAAATAGACGGCGATGATATTGATTGATCAAGCAGATATTGCTCACCCATCACAAGATAACTCTCTCGACACGGCTTTCAACGGCCAATCGTTCATCGCGCCATTAGAGTACCCTTGATACGTAGAATCGGATACAAAATCGCCGAAAGAGAGACACGAGCGGCTGGGTAATTGACGACCAGCATTCGGCGCGGCTCTGGTACTTACCGCTGGATTCAAGACGGGCTCCAGGAGGTACACGACCGACGCTGACGTCAGCGTGATGCCCACCGCGCCGGTCCGGATGGACAGCAAGAAGACGGTCGTGGGAGGGTCCTGCACACGGCACACATTCTAGATTTCAGAAGGAGTTGACGACCTAGAGTTATGGCAGATTGGGAAGCACCCCTTTGGGATCACAGTGCTTCGCAACGCCCCGTAGATGGATGTGATCGATTCTTAAAAAGAAGCGTGAACGTTAGCGGTTGCAACTCGATTATATGCGCGTCAATATCGGAGACTGCGAGCTCTACCAGAGATTCACAAACCGAGCATAGATGCTTTTCTCTAACCAAGTGAGTCCCCTCACCGAGTACGAGGTCATGCTCGGCAAAACTGCATTCTACGGCAGCCTTTGAACCCGGTTTGTACCGCTTGAGGTAAGCCTTCAGCTACAATTTAACCCGAAACTTAAACTCGACCCCTCAAAGGGCATACCTGTTGAAATTGCTCGATGGCTTTGGCCCGTTTGTTGAGCGCCATGTCGCCACTGATGTAGCGGTACTTGACGCCAGCTTCCGTCAGCTTCAGCTTGAGCCAGTCGATGGTTCCCATGAACTGGCTGAAGATCAGCGCCTGCGCACGCGAACCAAACACGATGTTCATACTGTTTCTTTTCCATCTTCTTGCAACAAATCACGAGGCGGATGCCATAGAGCGTTCGCCATTTTGTCTTCTTCCGCGCAGAATCGCCAGCCAGTTTCAACGCAGATTCTTCTAGTTCTTCTTACGGCATACCAACGTGAGACCTTTACAGCTTCCCGAACTACCTGCCAGCGCTAATCGAAGGAGGAATTTCAGTGATCTGGAAACTTCGTCACCTACATTCGATCCAACCCGGGGACAAAGCGCCCATGCTGAGGATCTCATGTGTTAGGTCTTAGTGATCGTCCGCTTGCGGTCTCCTTGTGCAGAATCGTGTTTCAGAGATGGAGTCTGGTTTGATGCCCGTTGAATCTGGACGTACCTTGGCCGTTGGATCCTCTTCCCTCGTCTTCTCCAGGTCTGCTAGCAGCGCCTTCAGCTTCGACTCCGCCACGAAAGGAGCGGCGGCGCCACTTGGGCCAGCCTCATCCTTGCCTGCGCCAGTCAGAGAACAGGGTGAGACTGACGCCCTGAATGCTTCCGCGTCTTAAATTAAAACTGCGCATAAGTACTTGCTCTATATACACAGGGGACCCTTTGCCACGTGGGACAGCTTAGATTTCGCCTGCGGCATTCAGAAAACAGATTGAGACGTTTCGCTTTGGAGTACGATGCGTCCAGAGTCTCGACGAGGAAATGGCCCAGCCTTGTTCTCGCCTGCGGCAGCCAGAAATTGAGACGAAAAGCAGTTTCAACGGGAAAGCATCCAAAGCCTTGAGGGAAAGAGGCCCAATAATACTTTACGGGACTGCAAGGAGTCGTAATCCAAATTTGCTCGGGACTGTCCTGGGGAAGCCCTCCGAGCCGGCAAAGCCGTGCTAGGATCCAAACATGGACACTTTTGCGAGAAAGATCAGGAACAAGCGAGTCGCATACACGAGAATGAAAGAAGGCAAGAGGGGACTCGAGATCGCATCACGCCAGCTATGATCGGGATCATGTGCGGAACAGCTGCTCGCCATCCTTAAGATAAACCTGGTTATCATGGATTCACCACGACCGAGGTTAGTCGAAACCCGGTCGACCATAAGCAATTCTGACGAAGCAGCTTCCGCCTTGCTCGAGAAAAGATCACAAAATCAGGATTACAGGTCCGCAAATTATAGGTTGGCAAATAGCAGCTTCGCACCAGCTTCTGGTTCGACGTATGGCACAATCGCCGTGGTGGTTCCCCGAGCCACGCCTTCGACGACGTCATCGACCGTCACTTTCTGGCGGCATATCGGGCACTGGCCTTGAGACGGTCCCGAGTCGATGGCACCCGTCAGGCACTCGTGGCAGAACCTGCGGGCGAATTCAGGCAATGCTTCAAGCGTGGTCAAAAGACTGGCATTGATTGACGCTGAAGCTTGGCAGCGTGTACGAAATGAATTTGGCCATCTCTCGAGGCATACGAGGCAACGCGTTTAGACAATAATCAAGCACTGGCTTCAGCTTGTGCTGAGGCTTGGCAGCAGAAGTATGATGAGTTGGGCGATGTTTGGCCTTCTGGGCAGACGTAAAGCATTATTCGGGGTCTGATTAGGACGTCTGGAGGCATTTTGGAACGGCGAGATCGCAGAAGGCGAACGGAGATTGGGTGTTTCAATCAGTCTAGGTTGACAAAATAACTCGACCGACATGACGAGACAGATCCACTTCTCTCATTAGGACCTACTGACAGTCCCCTGCTGGAATGGGAGGTTTGCTTTTGAAGAGTCGTTACATTGCTTCCACAAAAGCTCATTTTGGTCACCGCAACAACAAGGTCTTCCGGTAGTTTCAGGGACCAACAAGACCACCATCTGTGGAGGCTGTTGTAGAAGTTAGTGAAACCCAGAGCTCGAGAGAAGATTTGCTCTTTTGGGAGCCACCTTTCCACACCCGGCGTGCTGACGTAAGCACCCTCACCAGTGCTTGCAGGGCGTTCTGGCGGGCCGCTCCATGACGTCGAGGCATATGCCGCACTCAGAGTCGGGGGGCATGTCGGGCAGGCCTGCAGCTCCCGGGGGGCCGGCCTCCGGAGCGGTGTCTCCAGCCTCCGCCGGAGCATCCGCTGAAGCCTGGGGGAGATAGATTTGGCCGCCGCTGCAGATCCTGCAATCATTGTCCAAAGGAAAGGAAGTTTGAAAGAAGAACCAACACGGCATGGAATGCGGCGTGGGGTCGACCAAGTCGGATCATGTGCACTGGTCTTAAGAGCACCCAATATCCAATTGCGGTTGCGGTTGCATGAAGCCTGCGAATATTTAATGTTCATGCAGCCAGAGTGTGATGTGGTTTGCTGCAAATTTTGCGCCAAGACAATTACAATCGCGGAAAGCTTTGGCAGGGAACGAAACACACAAAAAGAACAACTCTGGAATCAAAGCCCGCTGAGTGTAGCTGAGTCCTGAGAGGCTGAGGTGAAGTTCGGGCGTAGGCTGCTGGATGTATTTAGCATTTCCTTTTCCCGCATCCGATCCGAGAATTGCACGCGGGCGTCCTCCGCTGCAATCAGTGGTCGCAAAACGAAGGCCATGAAAAGGCAAAACAAAACGGCCTCGAACGGCGCTTACCTGCGCAGCGGGAGGAGCAGCGACATGATCTGCAGCATGTGTCTGCCGATGTACATGGGCCCCATCTTGCGGAAGTGAGAGAAGCGCTCCTGGGCGGACGCTGTGGCGCGCTCGTAGACGACGCGTTCCTCGGGGGAGAAGTGCACCGGCATGTCGACCTGGGTTTTGGGCGGGAGGACGAGCAGCTCCTCGCCGTTGATCTTCTGGGACTTGGTGTGCCGGATCATCACCTGACACAATGGAGGAAAGAAAGAGGATGATGAGACGGACTGGAGTAAGGAAGGAGGGAAGTATCAGAGGTTCGTTCTAATGTTCAGTGCCTAGCTTTGGACCAAGGGGAACAACAAAAGGACAACACAATAAGGAACCTAACAGCTGACTAAGTCTGCGATCTGCGCCCATCAGAAGCGGAAAGCCTTTGAGAGCGGAACTTTGACAGCTGCTGGACAAGGAGAATATATCCGGCGGTGATTAGCGTCAGCGTCCGCGCGTCTTCGTTTTACCTATGAGTTGGCCAGCAGAGCTCCAAGACATCCATTTCAAGTTAGTCAAATGACCCAAATCAATCCACTTGACACAGAAGTAGCATGACCGACCAGCAAACCTGTTGTTGAACCCTTCATCAGCGAAGTTCAACAACTTGACTGCTGAACCCGTCTTTTCTGGAATACGCTCAGGTGATCCATTGGGACGCGCCTTCTCACCTTCGAGAGCAGATCCACCAGCACCGCCCTCCCCGCCCCGCTGCTCCCGTGGCCGTGCGATGCATGCTCGAACGGCATCCCAATCTCTTTCTGGAACGTCGCGAGCGTGTTAAAGGGGCTCAGCTTCAGGAAGGTGAACTGTCCGTACAGGTCCGAGATGCTTGTGTTGATGGGCGTCCCGGTGCAACACCAGCGGCGTTCCGCAGTCAACTCGGCGCAGGCTCGGGAGTGCACCGCTTTCGGATCCTTGACCTGGAAAAGAAGTGGGTTGCAAGGGGGGTTCAGTGCTGATTTGAGGTGCTGGTTTACGGTGAAGTGTCACTGGGTCGGTGTGGTGTCACTGGGTCTGCGTACAGCACCAGCGGCGCTCCGCTGTCCGCTCGATGCGGGCTTTGGAGTGCACCGCTTTCGGATCCTTGACCTGGAAACGAAGTGGGTTGCAAGGGGGGTTTAGTGCTGGTTTTAGGTGCTGGTTTACGGTGAAGTGTCACTGGGTCGATGTGGTGTCACTGGGTCTGCGTACAGCACCAGCGGCGCTCCGTTGTCCGCTCGATGCGGGCTTTGGAGTGCACCGCTTTCGGATCCTTGACCTGGAAACGAAGTGGGTTGCGAGGGGGGTTCAGTGTTGGTATGAGGTGCTGGTTTAGGGTGAATGTTGCTGCGGTGTTACTGGGGTCTCGGTGCAACCAGCGGCGCTCCGAGGTCAGCTCGACGCAAGCTCGGGAGTGCACCGCTTTCATGTCCTTGACCTGGAAACGAAGTGGGTTACGGGAGGGAGTTATAGTTTGTTTGGAGTGCCGGTTTCGGGTAAGAAGTTCAGCAAACTTGAAAAGCTTCGTGTTGATGGGCGTATGGATGCAACACTAGCGCCGCTCCGCGGTCAGCTCGGCGCACGCTCGGCTATGCCACCGCTTTCGGATTCTTAACCTGGAAAAGAAGTGGGTTACAGGAGGGCTTTGTCATTGGTCTGAAATGCCGGTTTAGGGTAAAACGTGCAGCAAAATTTTCTGAAAGATTCATATTCATGGGCGCACCGGTGCAACACCAGCGGCGCTTTGCAGTCAGCTCGGCGTTCGCCTGGAGGTGCACCAATCTCGAATCCTTGACCCGCAAAGGAAGTGGGTTACTGGAGGGCTGTTCCGTTGGTTTGAGGTGCTGATTTAGGGTGAGGAGTGCAGCGAATTGGACGTTGATTCTGCATTACGGGCATGGAGTATCGGCACATGGCCGCAAGGTGCAATCAATGCGACCCTATTATTTGCGGGCTTAGTGAGAGTGATGCACGAGTGTGGCGTCTACCCTTCGTAAAAGACACAGGCCAAGTGCTAGCTCTGGGATACAACCAGAACCAGATTTGCTGGTGAGAAAAGCGCCTGACGATGACCATATCAAGACGTACCCGGAAGTGACGAAACAACATCAAAGAGCAAATGCGGAACACTCACGGTGTGGCTCTCGTCCAGTACGATCCGCCACCAATTGACGGCGTGCAGCGGCGACAGCCTGCCATGCTCCTCCTCGGTTAGCGGCTTGTTATCTCCGGGTTCCCGGAACGCCCACCTCCGTTTCGTGCACTGGTTGAAGTCCGAGCCGAGAGTTGCGTATGTCGTGACAACCTGTACCAGTCAAGTTTTGGCAGCGCTCTGAAAATGGACCCTCGGTTTTTTGCAGAGTCATTTAGCGGTTTGTTATTTCTGGTTCCCGGATCGGCCACCTCCGTTTCGTGCACTGGTTGAAGTCCAAGCCGAATGTCGAATACGGTGTGACAACGTGTACCAATCAGGTTCTGTCAGCGCTCCAAAAATTGATTCTCGATTATTCGCAGAGTCATTCAGCGGTTTTGTTATTCGCGTTACGCCCACCTCCCTTTTGTGCACTGATTAAAGTTCAAGCCGAGAGTTGCATACGTCGTGACAACCTGTACCAGTCAACTTTTCTGAGCGCTCCAATACTTGGCCCTCGGAGTTAAGCCTCGTAAGGAGGGTCGTTGTGCGCAGAGATCACTGTTTCTGCCAAATTCTAAGCCTGTCTATAATAGGAAATGAAGAACACGTCAGCTCGACGCAACTTCAAGGACAGACGACTTGTGACCAGTAGCTTATGCACGAAAACGCTGCGGCTTGACGTCTCCAACGGTTTGCGTATACGGGTACAGATTCCACTTTTGACTTCAATGTACGAAACCGCTCACCGCCAATTGCGTTCGAGCGTTTGAGGCCAAGAGCTAAAGGAACGGACGAGGCGAGACAAAGTTGCAAACTCACGATGTCCTGGCGGGCCAGGAAGAACGGGTCGCTCGAGCGGCCTTGTCCGTGGTATTTGTACATGTTGATCGGGGCGCTGAGCTTGCCTTTCGCCTCTGAGATCCATTGCCCCACCAGCGAGACAGCGCAAACAACCAGGGTGGCCTTGGAGGGCACTCCCCCGGCTGGTATTGGGGGGGTGGGCTGTTGAATTGTTACTTGAGGAGTGAGCTGAGGGGGGTTGGGGTGCGGGTTTGCGAGGATGAGGGCCAGGATCTCGACGGTCTTGCCGAGGCCCATCTCCTGGTGATGAAAGAAGGAATGTCGATAGTTTAGGGAGCTTAATATGGTTCAGAACATGGAGAAGTTCTGTTCAAGGTTCGTTGAAGCGGGCCATGGGTTCGTTTTGGTATGGATTGCAGTATTTGACACTTGGAAGATCTCGAAACAGAAGTGTTTCCTTCTCTGGCGTATTGTGATGACGGAGTGCTTATGAGCCTGAGTTTGAAATGCTTTGGCAGCAGAGGAACTTGAGGATGTGAGCCAAGCTTCTGAGAGCCAGAACCCTTCCGTTTCGTCGATCTGTATTCTACCTATCCAAGAAGCAGAGCGAGTTTGCAAAGAGGTCTGGAAGCTTCAACGAAAGTGGACAGCCAAGCGGAGCGCACAATTCTGCCTGAAACGAATACTGAGGGGCAGAAGCCGATCCGAATGCTGGCTGGATGCTCGACCTACGGTCGAGCAGCCGCAAAGCGGGCCGAACAAATACCAGTCTCGAGACCTCTCCACAAGGAACTGCAGTCTGTCGTTGCCAGATTTCAAACCCCGACTCAAGCGCCCAATGAGCTCCAACGCTTACCTCGCACAAGAAGCCGCCGGTGGTCGGCGGGGGCAGCGTCCCCTTGGTGACTAACTTGAGCCTTTGCAGGGCGGGGCAGTAGAAGACGTCCTCTTCTGCCGTGCCGGCCCCCGGGATCTGGCGCCACATCAGCCCGTGGAAGCCGCCATCCCGCCGCTCACTGTAAGATGCACCGCTTATTGTCAGCTCATCAGCAGTGAGAACGTGTGCGAAGCTGGGGTAGTTTTCCTTTGCGGAGGTGCAGAAGCTTCAAAACTTTGCAAGCGCGCAGAAAGCATTAGGGAGGGTTCCTTGAGCTGATGCATTTTGAGATGCACTCGTGTCGCATGGATTTCCAGGGTGCTACTTCTACTAATTGGTATGATGAGAAGGCTGAACTAACGAGATCTCTAATAGAGTACGGGAAGACTCTTACCAGATTTATAGACTTCGTGTATGAGGAGTATATTTACAGTTGGAGCGATTGAAAAAGATGCAATCTGAGCAGAACCACTAGTCTTAACGAAGAGTTTGAAATTCATCATCAGGTTTCAAAAGACGGAGGCGCTCTTACTTGTCTAGCATGAAGCGCAGGCTCTGCCTCTGGTACGGCCGGAGTGTGACGCCCAGCCCGTCTGGTTGCGGCTCTTCCGGGTAGCTGGTGCTCTGCACCTTTTCCAGCAACGCATCGAAGCTCCTGATCCTAGTCACAGCAGGATTCGATTCCAGCTGCCTGCACGGATTGGCGAAATTACACGAATCAGCACGGACCAGGATCCGGCCAGAAGAATACTGAGGTCCTGGCTAACGAGGAGCTTCATTTCGTGGCAGCAAATGTCAGAAGTGGACCTTTTTTTGCAAGGTTGAATCGTCGTGATGTCTTCTGCTCCGTGCAACTTCAGTAAGAAGCTTTCTTACGTGAGTTGTCAGGAGAATGAACGTTGCTTTGACTGAGGGTATCTTAGTTTCTCAAAGTTGGCAAAAAGCGAGAGCGCAGTCCCATCGAGAACCAAAAGTCAAAAAAGGATCTCAAAGAGAGGGTTTCGAACCAGCCATCGTATGTCCAACGACAGACTCTGTTCAGCCGCAACCGCTTTTCTGATCTGACGCATCTCTGATTAATCCATCCTACATTGGTCTAGGTATGTCAGTGCCAATGCCTCACCTCAGCTCCTCAATCTGTTCGCAGAGCACCGGGTCGTCTTTGCACAGGTGGACCAGCGCCTTGGCTTGTGCGATCCGGGAGCTTTCGTCAAAGAGGCGGCGCAGCTGGAATAGCTTGATATTGACAGTCCCGCGCCGAGGGTTGTTGCCGCTGGGACGGACTGACACCGCAACACGCACGGCCGGCTGGTCACCCACCTTGAAGGTGCGCATGCGGGCCCTGCATGGCAAGAATTTTGACATCTGGTGTCAAGACCAGACACTTTTTTCGCTGCCAGGTAATGCTTTGAAGTACTAAGAGATGCAGGCATGCAAGGACTTACAGAAATGCATCCCGGAAATAGGACATGAGTACGCAAATCCTGTGGAGAGGAATGCTTGGTGTCTGAGCAATGATCAAGAAGCATGAATGATCCTGGCCCATCTATTTCGTTAGGTGACAGGTCTCGCAGTCGCAAAGTCGGTTTTTCACCTGATCTCTGCAATGAGGCAGTCAAACTCCATCTGCTTGGGCCTCTTATTCCGTGGTAGATCCTGTTCGCCAGTGTCAAAGCGGAAGTACCTGCAAGTACAGTATTTGAGATTCGTTGAAGAAGCCAACTTGCGTATATGATCTCAGCTGCTTTTTTCAGAAAACAACTGTAGAACATGAAATCTTCATCAGGAAACTCACGAAGCGCGATGCTCCAACTCAGACCATTGGCGTATGCTTGCGCTCAACTGAAGGACAACAGCAGCTAGCAAGATTGCAAAAGCATCAAACTGCCCCGCTCCTGCATAGCTCAAATGGACAAGATACTACCTAGCAACAGATTTGGGAGCAAGGGCTTCGTGTGGGAGTTGGCTAGCAGATTGAGCGTCTAAGCCTCCCACTTACACCATCTTGTGCTTCTTGTAGGTCGCCCCTTTGACCGGCAGCATGTCCATATGGAAGAGGCCTAGACCGAATGGCGCATGAGTGGGGGGCAGATTTACAAGGTCGTACTCAGCCCTTGCGGCGACCGGGATGCTGACGGTGCCAAGCGGAATGTACCTGCAGCCAGCCAAGTCCACTTTCAATCGCTTCCAGGTAACCGCATTAATATGCTCCCTTAGATTCCACTCATCTAGTTGCATAAAGGCTTGGGAAGGGGAGGACTGTCATAACCGGCTGCAAGAATGCTTAAATCCAGGCCATGAACAAATGCTGAATCGATTCACCAGATTGTAGCAGATGGTCGCCGAAAAGCTGCAGTAAACCGATTTTCGACCTGGTTTTGTTCAAAGTTAAAAGTTGTACAGCCCCAGGACTGATGAGCAAAGTTGCAACGCGAAAAGTCGGGAAGCTTGCCCAGATTAGGCACAAACCCAAACGGGTCACAAAAGCCTGTGTGCTGAAAATTGGCATTCTAAAGAGTAGACTGCTCTCTACACGGCACACACGCATCACTAGCATCATTTGGCGTAAAGGCAACCTGGTGAGGAATCCAACGACAAGAAATCACTTACTCTTTGTCCGAGTGCGGGTCTTCCAAAGGGGGTTGATCTGCTGTCCAGGGCCTTGCGGAGGGACCCCCTTGCGCAGAGCTTGGCCCCGCACTGCTTGGTTGCACCACGGGCACTGGCCTTCTAGGAGCGACGCTTGGACGAACTGGATCATTCCGCTTAAGGCTGTCCATAAATGCCTTATGCGCGGTGTTCTGCTCTGGAGGGTTCTGCTGAGACGCGCTCTGTGCTGGAGGGTTCTGCTGAGACGCTCTCTGCGCTGGAGGGTTCTGCTGAGGCATGTTTTGTGCTGGACGGTTCTGCTGAGGCCCGGCCTTGTTCTTTGCAGCCGTTCGTTTCTGTTGCCAGTGCCACGCGTCGTAGGCGTTGCAGTGGTCGTCCTCCCGGATGCCCGTGCCCCATTGGAGACACTGAGACTGGGGCTTGTCGCAGACGTAGCAAAAGCACTGCAACAAGCCACGAGGGTCCCTCTTTATCAAAGCGAAGGAAGTAATACATTCAATATGATCCCACAGGCTTGACATGGGCACCAGGCCAGGCAGATCAGGCCATTACGCATGAAACACTCAATTGATCACGTCAATTATTTGAACTGCAATGTTAAGTAGGTGAACATCATAAGGCTTGGTGATGCTGCATATTCTCCTTGTGTTAGTAGGCACGTCTAGGGATGTCGGTAGTCAGCATTGAACTGCAACCACCATTGTACATCAATTCCTTCAGCCAAAAGGACTCACTTTGCATAGAGAATGCTGTCCAAGGAATTGAAAGCTTGGAGACATGCCCAACATACATTTCATCGGTTTGCCTTGTTCAGCAACTTCCCTTTGAGGATCACCAAGCCGAAAGGGTTCAGAGATCGACAAGGTCTATGCAATGTATCTTGGACTCAGAAGATGGCACACATCAAGAGTATTCTATAGAATGGGCGAATCGCCAACGCTGGCTTTCTTGAGTCCATCAAGATTCTCTTTCTTTCCAAAAAGAAGATGCACAATGCTAGTAAGGATTCTCACCTGCTTGCAGCACGCTGCGTTCTGCGCCGACTTTTTCTTCACAAAGGGGTGGGTTCCACACAATGATCGCGGGTGTGGAAGATCCCTCAGCGCTGCCCCATCGCCCCGAGCGCCTGTCATTACAATGTCAGCGTCATCATCGTCAATGTGATTCATGGGGATCGCCGCCTCCCCAGGCCGCCTCGTGAGCAGCTCACAGTCTTCATTTCCCGCACCAAGAGATGCGCTACCCTCTTTCTTCTCCAACTTTGGCTTCTTCTCTGTCCATGAGAAGACATCCCCATCCCGCAATGGCCTCTTGTTCGGTCTGGAGGAAACTGCTGCTTCTTCTTCATCGCTGTCGTCTATTACGATCACAGCGCGCTTTTTCACGTTTGCCTTTGAATCCATGGCAAGAGGCTCACAAACAACGCTGATACAATGCAGACAGGTCAACCTGATGGAAGTGCCGCCACATGAAATTGTCGTTTCTTGCTGCGTCTTCTGTTCACTGCACCCTCAAAGTTTAGGCTTCAGGCAGAACAACGACACGTCTTCAACGTGAAAGCGTGTCATCAAGGATTGCCGCCCCCTTCCAGTCTGAAAATGGTTTCTCCTTCGTTCTTTCACGCCAAAGGTACTAACGCAGCTTTGCCTACAGCCTCAAGCTACATCCAACAGCCTACAGAATGCTCCAAGGGATCAACTCAACGTTCAGATTGATGTGAAAACCTTTAAGTTTTGAAGATTGCTCTGCTTTCTTTACTTTTGACCGATTTGGTCTATAAAGCGGAGTTCCGCTGAGCCTGTTCACACCACAACCGCCAACAGTAGACGGGAACTTCATATTTTCCCGCCAGTTTCTCCCGTTGCTTTTCAAACGTCCACATAGCGATCGAAAAGCGGCGCGTCGAAGCTGGTCGAAGCTACCTCTGATTGTGTCTTGCAGGTTGGGTTTCGACGACGAATCCATACAAAGGGATTGCCCTTCAAATGCATGTCGATGTAGCCGCTTGCCAGGCGGAATCACATACGGTATACGGTACCTACCTACTGGGTACTAGGTACCTAGTCTCTTACACCGCAACATGTCAACTGTGCAGCTGGTCGGACGAGCTTGTCCGAATGCTTGCAAACTTCAATGCAAAGACATTCGACATTCAACATTCAACAATCGGGTTCGCGGCTAGCGTAAAGCTTTCCAAGCCAATGCATGTAAGTTCAATAAGTTGCACCTCGGAAGTCCTTTTGAACAGTGCATCCAACATCATGATGCTGTTGTAGTACGAATCTGCCTCTGACAACGTCAAATTCAACAGACCACTTAGGATCCATTCGAACAAGGCATTTCGCCTGTCATTGCAGAATGCTCTTGCTCGGAAATAAGCACCAATACACCTACGACTCCATGTTTTGAAAGGTGGACATGTAGGTACTCATAGGCCCCAAGATAGTTTCAATCGAAAGGGGTTTGACCTGCATGGTTACACGGTAAGCTAATCATGCAAGCCTCCCAACTCAACCAACGTCGCCAAAGTATACCTTCAGGAAACAGTGGACAGCCCATGTCATCGAGTTGGTTACAGGGAGGTGAAGCTTTTCGATTTGGTGGGTATCCATCTCTTGCTAAGGTGGAAACTGTCGCTTCAAATCATTGGAACGGATCAGTATTGGGAAGGCTCTTTAGCCCGCTGCCTTCTCACAGACTACGATACAGCAGATAAATCGGAGTAAACGTCCTCAACACGATTTGATTTACCAAAGCTGCCTAAGCACTTGCGACTAACTCACCCAAGACTGCCTTGCTATGTACAAAAAGGACAGAAAAGTTGCTAACGAGGTTGAGGCGTTTGTTTTCCGGCGGAGCCTGATGAACCACCAGGTAGTTTGGACGCTATGCTCTGCATGTTGAAACCGAAAACGTGAGCATGGGCCGTTAACAGACAGCAGATGAATTCGGAATGATTGCCGTGGTGGTAACCCTTCTCTGTTGCAAGCACACTGCTTTCTGCCCAGGGAAAGGAACGCAGTCGAGCGCAGTGTTTTCAGTGGGTGTTATGCTCAATAGGCCGACAGCACAACCGAAAGGATGAGAAAAAGAACCGCGAGCAAAATACGGAGCGGTGGACGCAGCGGTCAGAGTGACAGATTGAGTAAGGTTTCTGGTGCTCGCTCATCGGAAAAATCAATACTTTTCAAGATCCAGTGAGGATAAGGAGATCAGATCTGGGTCGGACGATAAAGTGCTTGACAGCTGGTAATTAGAGCTTCGTCGGGTTTCAACAAACACTCTAATCATATCGGTTTGAGAGTCAACTCATTTTAGAAGATTTCAGAATCGGCTGCATCTAGGAGCTCACCTGAAACAACTCTTGGATGTTGTCAGCCGTCTTGGCTGACGTTTCGATGTAGAACATGCCGTTGCTCTCTGCATACGTCTCCGCCTCCTGTCATTACAAGATGGTAGATTTTCATCAGACCTGGACTTGGCATTTGAGTTGGCCAACCCAACAAGACCCAGCATGAAAGAAAGGTCCCGAAAGTTGAAAAGTTTGACTACCTTGCAAGAGGACATTCATCGACAGGGAGACGTTCATTCTGAGTGGACTCTCTGATTCAATAGCGGCTTCAAACAGCATTGTTTGGCAGTACGATGCAAACCTCGATCGTTCGCGATGAGACTTTTCGGATCGAAGGCGTTCTTCCTTCCCTTCCGAAAATAATTCGGCACGGGTGCCAATATGAACGGAGGTATTGACAAGCAGATGAAGCAGAGGCACACGACCCTAGAGAAACCAAATCCCAACGAAAGTTTCCGAGGGGTGCCCGGAAAACGAACAGTACCACAGGAAATGGTCAAACCTTGACGAATCGGAAGATGACAGCGCATATGGAGGCACACAAGGTGACGTCCCGGTACAAATACTCCTTTTGGGTAGATAGCATGACTCCCAAGTAGGATAAGAGCCCCTCCGAGGAAGGAGTGAACTCATAACATAGCGGAGAAACACAAACGCCCCGCACCCTTAACCACCCTAAACCCGTACCCGTTACCTGGGCGGTGCCCATATGCTACCCACGGACAACCGGACGCCTCACCTCTCGCTGCAGCGCACGCTTGTCCGCAAGGTCCGCTTTGTTTCCGACAAGTGCGATCACGATGTTCGGGCTCCCGTGCTTTTGGAGCTCCTGCAGAGAGACCGATTGACGACGTCAGCTATATCAGTATGCTTCTCATATTCCGCTGGACATTTGGCCAATGCTTTTGCAAACTCCTGCACAGTGAAGCATCCGACAACGTCAGCAGCCTCAGAGACTCCCTTCAGGTTTAGCGTCGACCAAAAAGTGCGTTGGTCTCTAGTCTCTCTCTTTCAAGCAAAGGCAGGTGCACTTCTCCAGCTGGAGTGACGTGCGACTTCATAT